TTATCCAGTCCATTTGTGGTTGTGTATTTGCCGCTACCAATGCTGAGTTTGGCGCCGGGTACTGTTCATTGTATCTGTTCCAGCACATATGTGTTGTATGTCCGCGTTTTCCACATATTTGACAGAAAACTGGTCCCGCTGAAGGAGGTGTAGTGTTATTGGTTGATTGCGATGTTTTGTATGAATTTGGTGCAGATTGTCTTCCTCTGTTCGATGAATTGGATCTTCCGCGCCCTCTGCCTCTGTTCTTGTTTGAATATAATGCTGTAGCGACGTTCGGTGTTGAATGATCTCTTGCAGATTTGCTGGCAAGATTTGTTTCTTCGCTTAAGAGTAGCGAATACAAATCTTCCAGACTGATCGGAGAAATGTTGGCTCGAATTGTCGTTTTGAACGCTTGATACTGTTGCGGGAGGCCGTTGAGTGTGTATAGCAGGATGTCTTCATTGTCGATCGTGCATCCTGCTGCTGCGATATTGTCGACCAGAGACTTTACGTTCGTAAGATATTGCATCATCGTTGATTTTCCCATGGAGATATGATGCAAGTCATTCTTTAATTGAATCACCCTTGATCTGTTTGACGCTTGAAGACGACGTTCAAGTACAGACCATATTTCTGCACACGTGTTCAGGTGAAGAACGTAAGGTAGTAGACTCGTCGTGACCGTGGAACTGAGAGCTGCTGCGAGATTCTGGTCTGCTAGTTGCCATCGCGCGTATGCTGGATTTGTCTGAGACTTGCCGTTGGAGTCGATCAGATATCTTGAAGGTGCTGATACTGAGTTGTCGAGAAATCCTTCATAGCTGTTTGCTCTGAACAGCTTAAAGATCTGTGATCTCCACATTGCATAATTGTCATTAGATAGCTGTATTGGGACAATGGTTTTGATATTTGATATCAAAAATTTCAGAGAAGAAGGAATGCTTATGTCTTCTGATGACGTTTCTATGGATTCTTCTTCAGATTGTTGCGATAAGGATTGCGTCGCCATGCTTTGATCGGAAAAGCTGTGAGCCGAAATGGCTCTGATACCATGTAGAAAATCAAGGGAAAGAGAATTATCAAGAAAGCAAGAAACAGTAAATGCTCTGTTTCTATGAAAGTATTATTCAAGCTTCAATGTTTACAATGTGTGTCTATTTATAGACCAGTGTGGTTACAAGAGCTGAGCTGTCATTTGCTTAGTTCGTTACATAATAACCGCCCATGTGCTGAGCCGCCATCTGCACATGGTTTCTTGGGTTCTCTTGTGTGCTGAGCTTCCGTTGTTGTTTTTAGGAATGACTTTCTTATTGCTTTTTAAAGCAATTTTTTAGTATAAAAATTTTGTTTGGTATAAAAATTTTGTGAATTATAAATTTTTATACTATAAAATTGTTTTAAAAAGCAATAAAAAAGCAGTCTCAAATGAAATAAATCACTTTCTTACTGCTTCTTAAAGCACCTTTTTAATAAAAAAATAAATTTTGTGTATTTAAAGTTTGTTTTAAAAACTAGTTAGAAAGTCGTTCCAAACAAAGCTTATATTACAAAAGAATTTCTTTTTGGTCCTTTTTCCTTCTCTTTTTTATAAGAATACTATGATGAATGTTCAAAATTCCTTCAAAATAATTCAAATTATCATAAAAAATAGTATTTTATTTTTAATTTATAGTTAAGACCAAGAAGAAAAATAAGAACGGACCATTTCATTCCATTGTTTTATGAGATATTTTGTTTCAATTCAGCAAACTTTTTTTTTAAAATAAAAATGTAGGCCACTTGCTTATTATGAACGAATTTGAACATTGATATGTCATCAAAATATCTTGATTAGGCACGAATCTCAATGCAAATCTGATTTGAGGGCTTTAAATTAAAATTTGGGATCATCTAAACTCCAATTTCAGCAAGCTTCTAATCAAATTGAACATCTAAACAAGACGAACCTAATGACACCAAATTCAATTCAATCCGAGCTTAAATCAAAGGATAAAACACTCTTGAAAGCTTCAAAGTGTTAATTGGATGACCAAATGATATCCACATATGACATGCTTAAAGCTGAATCGAGGAGCTCGACGAGATGAATCTAACGAGCTTAATATTGCCAAATTCTAACATCATTAAGGCACGTAAATGTTTGATAAACACTAAGATCAAGAGAATCAATATGGGTCATATGAAGAAACAATCCAAACCTACCCTGGATCTTCATCATATTTACTGAGCACGCCACTCCCAAAAAACTATAAATAAAACCTAATTTTTCACATGGAGGAAGAGGAGGAAGAGAAAAGCTCTAACGCTTGAAGAATCTTGGAGCTCCACCCCGCCACCACCGTCGATGAATCCATGCCACTAGATTGCCTCTACTCAACGTCTGCTCGACCACCATTGTTGTATCTCCATCTCAAAGAAAGTGAAGGGCCTTCCTCCACCGTCGCCCATAAAATATGGTTTCTCTGACCACCATCGTCTATCAACTACAATCTCTCCAACTATTGTCACCTGCTGACTTCGATCTCTCTGACCAACTACGCCCGCCGACTATAATACTTCTGTTCTCCATCATTTGCCAATTACGATCTTTCTAACCTCTGTCACTTACCGACTTCGGTCCCTTCGACCTTTGTCGTCAAAATACAGTCCTAGCTAACAACCAAATGAACAGGCCAACACTATCTTGGTGACAACTCTTATGGCAGTGGATTCTTCATGCCATATAAAGTGCTCTATATGATGTATATATTTGCTATATTGAATCATTGCTTTTCCTCGAGAAAGGACATAATTTATAATCAATTATAAATATTAGTAGATTCACTTAAATTGGGCAATACCATTTGGCCGAGGGGTGAGGGTAGTGGAAGGGTGACTATTGCTTACAGTCAATTGTTGGCAGCGAAATCAATGGCTAGTGTTGGCTGACAGCAACATGCGATGGGCGACAACATTGCAGACTTGCTATACATAAAAAATGAATTAGAATTGATATATTCTCAAAAAATTATCTTGATCAAGCACGAATCTCGAGGCAAAATCTAATTGGAAACTTCAAAAATTAAAATCAAGAGCATTCGAACTCCGATTTCACGAGCTTATAGTCAAACTGAGCGTCTCGAAAATACGAACCCAATGACACCAAATTCGACCCAATCCGAGCCCAAATGAGTCCGAATCAAGGACCCAAATGGCTGTTGGAAGGTTCAAACCGCAATTTGAGTTACCAAACAGTCTCCGATTTTAAAGAGCTTATACGCAAATCGAGCGGCTCGACAAGTCGAATCCAACGAGCCCAAGATCGTCGAATTCCGACATCATTAAGGCCTCTAAATGTCCAACGAACGGTGCACGATCGAAGGGTTCAATATCGGCCGTCCATTCAAACCACTCCCTATTCGCCCTTGATCTCACAACTATTTACGAGCTATGTCACTCCAGAAAAACTATAAATAGATGCCTCATTCTTTACAAAGGGGACTGAAGTGAAGAGAGAGAAGAAGAAGAGAAGAAGAGGAGAAAGGGGAAAAGGAGAATCCTCTCCTCCTCGACCACCGCCGAAGCTCTTCCCGCTGCCTGAATACGCTGGAACTCTGCTGGATTTTCGGGAAACGACGGGATTTTTCAGAACTTTGTAAACTTGCTTGAAGAAACGAATTGTAATCTGATTGCCCCGACTTGTGGGACGAATCAGCCATTTGTAATTTGCAAAACACTAGTGGAATTTTTCAACTGGACGAGGCCCTGTGGTTTTTTCCCTTTTTGGGTTTTCCATATAAAAATTTTGGTATTCATATTCTCTTTTCTTTTTGTGTGCTGAATACTCGTACAACGCTCGGACGCGAATTTACAACTCTACCGCCGCGTATATTCTAGCCCGCAACAAGAATATAAAAGAGTAATCTTCCGAAAATTTATTGTATTTCTTTTTCACCAAATCAAACACCTAAATTTAATGTTATATTGCATTTATTTTAAGTAGCATACATTTTTAAGCAAGCTAAGTAGCTCCTTAATCCAAAATTTGCACTCATCAAATAAAAGAAAGTAATAATTAAAAACTTTTAATTTTCGAGAGAAAAAAAAAATCATATTTATCTAACAGTGCATATTTTTCTTCTTTATTTTATCTCTTTCACTTTGTATATTTTATTAATTAACATTTATATTTAAATGCTTGTAATTTTATAATGTTATGATTCTAACTTCTTAAAAAGGAACTTAAACTTTTAAATTTTAATAAATTATGTTTTCTTTTATTTTATTAAAATAAATCATTTAGCAAATTAATATGCATTATCTTCTTTTCAAAATCTTCAACAACTGAGAAAATTATTAGGTCTGAACGTCGGACCTAAAAACAAGTCCGAATATTCAATTAAATTTTGCCACTTGGAATGCGCTTTTTGAGTTGCACTTTGAATGCGCTTTTTGAGTTGCACTTTGAATGCGCTTTTTGACTGAACTTTTTGCGCTTTGACTAAAAATTTCGCGGACACGTGTACATTGCACATGTCAATATTTTATTGGACAACGGACGTATCTCTACGTCCAGAGTCCAAACCTAATAAATTTCCCAACAACTGAGGGTGGGCTTGACAATTTTTTTTTTTCATAATTTTATTCTACATATTTTTATCATAATTTCATTTGACTTGTGATTATTATTAAAAATATTTTTATGATTAGAAATTGTTCACAGACAAATTAGCTAGAAATAAATAATTTTAAGATTAATATGGCCTAAATTTTAATAAAATATCTTGACATAATTTTTTCCTAATTATTCAATAAAATTTTGTATAAAAATATCTTGAATAGATTTGATTAGCTTTGAAGTTCATCAAGATTAGTGCCTTATTTATATTTCATGAATAACACTAATCTCAACCTAAATCTGAGGGCTATCAAACTCCAATTACATCCTATATTGTTAAGCAAAGTTTTTTACTATTTAAACGTTAATAAAAATTGGCATTAATGGCTCCCGCATATCTCTCAATATATGAAATTGAATGCCTCATAAATCCTTTACTGAAACAGGTCCTCACCTTCCAGAATTGCTCGGCGAAGAATTTTACCATCGGCGGCCTCGCCATGCCGTCCACAAACCTAGACGCCCTATCTCCCTCTTCGAATCGCCCATGCGCGAAATGCCCGGCAATATCTTCGCCACCGCCGTCGGCGGCGCCGGAACTCCTCCCCCTCCCCCTCCCCCTTTCGTATACAGCATCGACGGCCTCAGCACCCCCCTCACCCTCGGCCTCACCGCCGCCCTCGTCATCTTCCTCATCACCTTTTTCCTCGCCTTCTTCTTCTGCTACCACTTAACACTCAATCCCCGCTCCCAAAACCCTAACCCTAGCCCCGACCATCCCATCGCCGCTGCCTCTTCCCGCGTAATTTTCGTCATGGAGGACCGCGGTGTTCCTGGGCTTGACGAGGAGGTTATTAGTTCATACCCCAAGTTTTCTTTCTCCGTCAATGGAGGCGGCGAAGGCTTGTGTTCGATTTGCTTGAATGAATATAATGAGGGGGAGATGCTGAGAAGTATGCCAGAATGTCGGCACTGCTTTCACATTCTGTGCATTGACAGTTGGCTCCAGCGGCACGGAACGTGTCCTGTATGTCGATCGTCGCCGGCACCGGCGCGGTTGTTGACTCCGACGATGGAGCTCTTGTCGATCCCGCAGGAATCCGTCGAACGCCTTCGAGGGTGAGCTTCCAGGTAGCTTTACCTTTCTTAAGGTAATTGTAAAGTTAATGTAGGGGAAGTAATATTTTTTAAAATTGTAATGAGTATTTTAAATTTGCTCTTTTTTTAAGTTCAATAATTTTTTTTTTTTTATATCTACATTATTATATTATGTTTAATTTTTTACTGTGTTTTTTCTTATTATACTTTTATTTTTTTAAGTAGAAAAAACTAGGGGTATCAATTTGGCACGATGAGAAACCAAATTCAGACCTGACCTGAAGAAATCCGAGTTTGGGTCAACTCGTTTGTGAAATGGTTCGGGTTTGGGTACGGATTTCTGGCTTGTTTGAAAAACATGTCAGTTCGAATTGGCCCATAAACCTGTAGGTAGACCCAAATTGACTCGATTAATTGATCGCATGCCTGGTCGGTATCTAGTCACGACTCGCGACTATCGCATCATGCCAGCCATCCCGTGCAGGCTACGTCGCTACGAGCAGGTCGCAAACTTGCATCGATAGGAATCCCCCGTCTTAGGTATCTAGCCGTCTTGGCGTCCCGTCCGCCTCAACCGCCTCGCCCAGTTGTTACTTTCGCTTCCCAACCATTGTAGGCTACGGGCTATGCCTCACCGTTGTCGGCCTCAAGGCGTCAAGCCGTCGGCCTCACCAGTGGTCCAGTCAACGTCGACCTCACTGGTCATCGCCCTAGCTCACTGCTTATGCCTAATCGGGTTTGGGGGTCGGGTCGGGTCAACCCAGTAACCCGAGCGGGTCCGATCCAGGTTGAAAATCCTAACCCATTTAGCTAGCTAGGTCGGGTTTGGGTCAACCCGTTTACTTTTGGGTCAACTCAGGTTAGACCAGAACTCACCCCATTGACTTGAATTAACACCCCTAGAAAAAATAATCATTAGTAACATTGAGGTAATTATGCAGCTCATCTTGGTCTGTCAGTTGAAAACTTTGGCTATCAACCAAGCAATTTTGGGTTTAAGTGTTGCGTATGTGATGTGTGTTTGTTTGCCTTAATTGGCCTAAATGTTCTTAAAAAATTTAAGTAATTTCTATTTTGAGTGTTTTGTTGGGTTTAAATTTATTTTTGAAAAAATATCATGACTACATTTATAAAATGAATCAAGCTCAACAAGGAATGAGAGAGAAAAGGAGAGGTTTGATCTCTAAAACTTTTTTATTGTTAATTTATGAATATTAGTTTAATTAATTTTATTTAACAAAATAAATAATTATTAAAATTAATATTAAATAATTATTAAAATTAATATTAAATAATTTTTTAAAATTAATATTAAATAATTTATAAAAAAATTCAAAATTCATTCAGAAAACCCGTTAAAAATTTGCCAAAAAATCCACCGAAATTTCTAACAAATTTATTTCCGTCAGAAATTCGTCGTAAATCACTATTTCTTGTGTAGTGACATTGTTTTGAGGGAGTAGCCTTGTGTAGCAATAATTCTCTTGTGAAAGTGATCTCTTTAACTATGCTTGGCCCTTGCTAAGAATATGTAGGCTTCTATCATTTCTTAGGCACTAAATTATTTCTTTTTTGTTTTTAGATTTATATGAAAATGAGTGTTATTTATGAAGATTTTTCCTTGTTAATAAATAAAAATATTTATGCACTTCTCATGCAAAATCAAACGTTAATTATTTGTTATGAAAGTGAGAAAATAATTCTGATCTAAGTGGGCACAATAAAAAATCATTTGCAGCAAGAAAATATAAAGTATACTTTACATTTATATTTTTTGAACGAGTTGGCATATGAGTTTTTTTTTTTTTTTTTTTTTTTTTTTTTTTTTAATTTTTTGGCATATGAGCTAATGAGTTAAGGCAAGGTTGAGGATTATGAATCAAATTGGGCTACAACTTAGATTATATCAACCAATGAACAAATATATATATTTCCAGCCATCAAATACCTAGCTCAACAGGTACAATAACAACAACATCAAGCTTTTATTCAACTATGTGGGGTCGGTTAAATGATCTTTTTTTCTCTATTTTGTTTTAAAAGTCAAATTCTTATTTAAATTAAAAAAAAGGACTTTTCTAATATTTTCTAACCAAAATTTTTAAATTTGCCGCTACCTTTTTTAAGATAGGCTAAAATCTAATACATCTATTTTTCTAACCGAGTCATCAGAAAGCCGCCGTTTTATGTGACCAGACCATCTAAGATACGCCGATGGTTGGAAGGGAAGGCTAGCACACATCATTTAGAAATGATTTTTAATTATTTAACATGAGACTACGGGTGTAAATGAGTCGAATCGAGTTTACGCCTTATCAAGTTCGGCTCGTCATTGGAAAACGAGCTCGAACTCGAGCTCGTCCCACTGTAAACGAGCTCGAGCATGGCTCGCGAGCCATGCGTGGGATTAAAATTTAGGCAAGATTTTTAAAACTAAGTCAAAATTTAGAAGAAAAAAAAAGAGTTGAAATATGTAACATTTAAATAAAACTTAGGTGGTTTTTATTATATTTTTAGATTTAAATTTAATAAATTAAATAAAATTATTTAAAAATATTAATATTTATTCAAGTCAGCTCACGAGCCGAGCTGGCTCAAGCTCGAGTTCAAGCTCGAGGTCGAACTCAAGCTCGAGCTCGACTCGTGAGCTCGATAAGCTTGCCTCGTGAGCTCATAAACGTGTCAAGCTCGAGCCGACTCGCAAGCCTCACTTACACCCCTACATGAAACTAAGCTTAAAACCTTATGCGCCTTAATAGAATCTACATAGCGACATGATTTATTCTCATATCTTCACCGTTATCTATTATACGCGAAATAACTCTAATCCATCTCCCAAGTATATTCAGATGCAAAATGCATTATGATCTTTAAAGCCCATGGGCATCCAAATTGAACTAATCTCAATAAAACTTTATAGATTTTAAAGTCATCATGAAGATATTTTGATACAACTTTATTTATTTATTGCGCATAACAAATACAATATTCACGAACAAAATGAATCAAATATGAACAAACTATAAATTTGCTCGAACTCTTGACATGCCTATCCCTAGGGCTGCAAATGAATTGAACGTTCGACGAGCTACTCGCTCGGCTCGATAAAAGCTCGTTTTATGTTCGTTTAATAAGCTAAATGAATAAGTTTGAACATTTTTGATAAATACTCGATAGTTAAATAAACGAACTTGAACAACTTGGCTTTCAGCTCATTTTTGTTTATAAACAACATCGTTTAAAACTCGTGGATAATCTTTTAAAAAGATCCATTAAGACTCGCATTCGACTTGAAATAATTTGAAATGAATAAATAGATTGAACATGCTGAAACTAGACTCTGCTAGTTCATTTGCAGCCCTCGCTATGAGAGATTATTAGGTGCGGAGTGCGGACGGGGAAAACTGTCCGTACAAGCAATTGATACATTCGGTACCGCTGGGTACCCAGTACTTGTGCAGACGATGCGCACTCCGCACCTAATAATTTTTCCCTAGCTACACCCCTCCATGAAGAATGGAGCATTCCACTCCAAATAAAATATCCACAGCATGCCATAATATTTCGTCTTGCGTGCACTCAACAGCCGACAACTCTGCGGTTAAAGAGGATATCAGGTGATGATGAAAGATAGCTACATTTCTCTTCTCCCACAGCACCCCGCATGATCCATCCTTACTGTTCTTCCTTTTTCAGCCTTTTTGCACCGTTTAAGAAAACCTCAATCTGTTACAAGTCACCATATATCATTGCCGGCTCATCATTTCATGCAAAAACCAAACCTATTGTTCAATGATGATTTTAGTAGTCATAACTTATGATTCAATTGTTCTGAACTCTTCTTTTTATATATGCATGCATTCAAAATATTCTCCATGTATTTATTTATGTGTGATCATTTTAGATTTCGTATGGGCCGCTATTTTATTGCTTCTTAAAATAATTTTTGATAGCAAAATTTTCTTGAATAATAAAAAGTAGTAAAAAGCTACACCAAACAAAACCTTAAGGTTGGTTTGGGATGACTTTCTTACTGCTTCTTAAACTAGCTTTTGAATATAAAACTTTTATATATTGTACTAAAAAACTGTTTTAAGAAACAGTAAGAAAGTCGTCCCAAATGAAACCTTAGACTTAGTTTGGGACGGCTTTCTTACTGCTTCTTAAAGCAGCTTTCAAATACAAAAATTTTAATTTTTGTACTAGAAAGCCGCTTTAAGAAGCAAGAAGAAAAACGTCCCAAATGAAACCTTAATTTCAAAATATCATATTATTGTAAATTAGGCTTCGTTCGGAATGACTTTCTTACTGCTTTATAAAACTGGTGTAGAGAAAATAGTTTATTAAGCTATTGTAGAAAGTAGCTTCCTAATACAAAAAAAAAAAAAAATGAAACTAAAAAAAAAAACAATTGCCAATAAAATTTTGGTTGAGCTGTGAAAAATAAAGCACTAAGAAACTATCCTGAATGAAGTCTTAGGCTAGAAATTTCTGTACTAGAAAACAACTTTAGATTGTAGTAAGAAAGTTGTCACAAATGAAGTCTTAGGTTTCGTTTGGGACGGCTAGCTTTCTTACTGTTTCATAAACCAGCTTTCTAGTACAAAAAAAATTAATTTTTAAACTAGAAAGCTGGTTTAAGAAGCAGTAAGAAAGCCGTCTCAAACGAAGCCTTCGTCTCTTGACTAAACAAAATTTATTCAAAATTCTCCTTCATATTATAATTGTGATATTAAATTAAAAATAAAATAAATAAAAAAATATTAATGATTTTAAGTTTTAAATTTAAATTCAATATTACATATAAAATATAATTAGATGGTGAATAAAAAATTCAATGTTAAGTAATTAAATATAAATTTGAATACAAAATAAATACTTTTAATTAATATCAAATTTATAAATAATGAATACAAAGGTTTAAATAAAATAGTTGTGATTTCTCAAATTTAATTTTTAAAAGAGATGACATATATAATATGAAACTTAAATATTAAATAAAGCCCTAATAGTTTTGAAAATTAAAATTTTCATGCATCATTG